TCTTTTTTTTTTTTTTTCCCCCCTCTCCTTCATCTATTTCCGCTTCTCCCTCCCCCCCCTCGTTTTTTACTCCGGCTCCTCTTGTTTTTCTTCTCTTCTCCTTCTCGTCATTGTCCTCCCCTTGCTCCTCCTCCTCCTCCTCCTCCTCCTCCTCCTCCTCCTCTCTGTCGCCATTGCTGCTGAAGCCTGATGTTTGGCGTGCAGCAAAACCGGTGCCCTGCACGGTGTGTTTGTCATTGAGTGGTGTAATTGCTTTGCACATCTTTCAGCAAGACGCTTGTGGAGACTGTCATGACGGTTTTATAGGGGCTTGAGCTTGCTACCTGATTCAGTATGTGAATGACCTGTAACTCTGAAGGGACTGCAATACTAACATGTTTCGTCTTGTTCTATAGAATAGAGCTTGGGCAAAACACCTTCTCTTTCAAAATTGTCACTTATTTGCACAATTTTCTTAGCAGTGCTTTCTCAAGCAGACGAGGCAGATCCATCCGTTTTTTTCAGTGGGTTATTCAAACCCTAAGCTGCTACCTCTTGCTCACCACTCTGTATGACATTGAGACGAATCTTGGACTCTTTGTGTCTCTCTATGCCACACATCCCTACCTAAGACATCCTCTCTCTCTCCCTCTCTTGCTGACTGCAATGTATGATAGGTATCTGCTTAATGCAAAGGTAATTGCATTGACACAACTTGGCAATCCAAAGATAACGTGGCTCTGAATGTGGTTCATTAAACCATCCCAACTGCAGGCACGAGCTGGTGGTATTCCAGATATTGTAAGCAAGGAGGGCACAACGGTGAGCTGTCTCCCTCCCTCCCTCCCTCCCTCCCTCCCTCCCTCCCTCCCTGGCTTTCCCTCCCTCCCTCCGTCTTTCCCTCCCTCCCTCGTCCCTCCCTCACTCCCTCCCTGTCTTTTCCTCCCTCCCTCCCTCCCTCCCTCCCTCTCTCTCTCAGCCAAACCCTTAGCCAAACCCACTAGAATTGCAACGTTTTTAGCGAAGGAAATGAGCTTGTTGAGTTCTGTTGTCTTCCAACTGAATAGAACGTACGGTCGTTGCAGCTTCATGTGGTGCGGCGTTCAGTCTAGAATCTAGATACAGCCATACGGACCATACGTTCTCTCCGGGGGAGGACTGTAGTTCCCCTGTTTCTGGCGACATGTTTTTCAGAAATGTGTCAGAGATATGCTTGTCAACAATAAGTCAAGTCCTCTCACTTTTCTTAGCTTTTGTGCTATCTCTTTGGGGAGCGGAATTTTGTATTTTGAAGCCATGAACCGCTGCGAGTTTTTGTGCATTCTACGTTGTCGTTGTTATTTGTTGTTCTCCTCTCTTCAAGGCTTGAACTGGGAACCTTTTTTATTATTTTTTATTTTTATTTTTTTTTGCTTGAACTGGGAACCTCATGCAAGGTTAGTGTAATTGTTTTGCCTGTGTGTGGTGCTTGGGAGCTTGTGAGTCTGCAACCAAGGAACCCCCCCCCCCCCCCTCTCTTTTGCAGGATCTCAGTTATAGGGGGGTAACTCCAGAATTTTCAAATAGGCAGCAGAGGGGCAACTCCAGAATTTTCCAGTAGGCACCTGGCAGGTCTGAGCAGGGGGGCAGATTGGCAAACTAGGCGAGCTGGGCAGTGGTAGTTAGGAGTGAAAAATTATGCAGGTTTCTGGAGTAAGAAGAAGAAAAAGAACGCCAACGGGCCTAGTAGCTCAGTTGGTACACCCATGAAACTGTTGAAATATGAATCAGACCCGAGTTTGAACCCAGATACAATCAGATGACCCAAAAAAAATAAAAAATTCATTCTGAAAGAGTCTGAATTACCTGGGGCCGGTCAGTTCAATGATGATATATATCTAAAAGCCGTTGCCCTTTTAAAAAAAAACCCAAAAAAAGATTAAGACGAAAAAGTAGCATTATTTTCAGGGCTGATTTCAGCAGGGAGAGTGGGCGCCGCCATAGCCAGGCAAGGCAGCTCTGACAATCTACCGCATCCTTTCTTATACCGATTGATGCTGTGTGCTGAGGGCAGCCGGGCAGCCCTTCGGCCCCGCCTGCGGATATACAAATTTCTCTGTTATGTTTATTGGGTATTCCCGGTGTGTACGGTACGTTTTGATTTTCAGCAAGCTACCAATCAAGTGTGATCGCATGTCAATCAAGTGTGCAAGTGTGCTGATGGATGTTTAAGCTTTAGAGACTCTTGAGAATCATAACCATATCTACCTCTGCCACTGGCAAACATACATGTGTGTTCACGGTTCAGCCTTGCTACCTGATTGCGCCATGCGGCGGCATTAGGACAACTAATTAACCATTTTGGCATTTTCCCCTTTCTTTCCCGTTCCTCTTGTTGCTCCTCTTCTCCTTCTTGCCCCTTGTCTCCCTCCTTTTCCCCTTCCCTTCCCTTTCCTTCCCTTCCCTTCCCTTCCCTTCCCCTCTGCCTTCCCTTCCGCTCCCTTCCCTTCCGCTCCCTTCCCTCCCTTCCTTCCTTTTTTGCCCCTTCTTTTTTTTTTCTTTTTTTTTTTTCTCCTCTCTCTCTTTTTTCTTTTTTTTGTAATAAGTGCAAGGAATACGAGTGTGAACGATATACAAAACACCAAGTTGCGAAATCACACAGATGTCCAAGTAGTCGTGTCCAAGCAGAGAGTACAAATGCACCGAGAAACCATACCATCCATATAGAGCAATACAATGAAGTAACGAGTCAATGTTCAAGCCCGTAGGCCACACCAACACAGTATCCAAAGTCGCTCCTCTCTGACTGGCGCCCAGCGCCCAGCCCACTCTGCCCGACTATCCTACCTGCAGCTGGTTCACGCAACAGGCTCACTTCGAGACTCGAAGACCAATGTACATGACTGTCAACTCCATAGCCGACCTCTCTTCATGCACCCGGTACGTATCTCGTCACCCTCAATCAGACCTTGATTACCCCACACTCGCCTCCTTCCCTGAAGACCACCAGATCGCCTGCTGTACCCCCTGGCGCCGCAGCGCCCCACTTCACCACTATGCGCCCTGTCAGCGCCTTTGGCAGCAGCGCAGCATCAAGCAGTAGCGCAGCAGCACTTCCGCATTGCCTGCACTGGCCAGAATGGCTGGCCTGGGCTGCCTCACTTCTTTTATGGAAGTGGTGGCCTCGGATGCTGCGTGTGGCCTGGCTGGAAGCTTCCAGTAGCTTCCGGTTGGGCCTCAGACCCTGCGCCCAGGCCCGAGACTGCAGTTGAGGGCCTGGGCCCTTTTCAGTTGGGCACGGCCTGAGTCTCCAGACTTGGGCTGTTTGCTGTATCCGTGCAGGGCTCCCAGGTAGATGCGTCGGCAGTACTGCGTTTCCAAAGGCCGATGGCCTGCTTCCCAATGTATCGGCCCTGCTTTGTGTGTATGTGCCCAGGCGCGACTGTCAAGGCCTGGGCCAACTGTACGATGCAGCTTAGTGAGGCTCCCGCGTCTACCCAACCAACTGGCGTGCTGCAAGAGGGCCCCTTGAGGGCTCGTTCCTCACATAAGGGCAATGAGCTTGAGATATTGTCATCGAGCTGAAGTCCCTAGGTAATTCCGGTTTTTATCTCATCTGCTTCCGTTGCGTTCAAACTCAGGTCTCTATTTCATAATCGTTCAGGGGGGGTGTACCGACTGAGATAGGCCAGTTGGTCTTCCCTTCCTTTTCTTTTCTTTCCTTTCCTTTCCTTTGCTTCCTTTTTCTGTCTTGACCTTCCCTTCCGTTCCGTTCCGTTCCCTTCCCTTCCCTTCCCTTCCTTTCACTTCCGTCCTCTTTTTTCCCCTCTGCTCCCTCCGTTGCGTGTCCTCTCCCTACCTTTACTTCTTTTCTCTCTCGCCATTGTTTTTTCCCCATTCTCTTCCGGTTTTGAACTCAGGTCTCCTTTTCTGTCCTCTACCTCCATTGCCTTTCCTTTCCCTACCATTACTTCTTTCTCTCTCGCCATTGTTTTCATATTCTCTTCTGGTTTCCTTCTTGCTCCTTTCTCTCAATCCCTCTGCGTTCCTTGTCGATTATTTCGCCGTGGTCTCAGGGCATACTCGCACTGTGACTTTGCTGGATTTACCTGGTCGCAATTACAGCCCGATCTGGACATCTCGAAAACCGCAATTACGTCCACATTCAACCCAAAGAGTCGCAGGGGGGAAGTTGTTTGGAGTTTGATGATTTGGAGGCGGGGTGTCGAAGGCCACCCCCCCCATTCACACAGACAGGGCTATCTTGCCCAAGCGTACCTGCTTCTAAATGTGGTCAAATGCATTCATGAGGCCCGATCCCCGGTTTTCATTAACAACCTGTCGTCCTCAGTGACTTTTGAATCGACTTTCGTATTCACTGCTTCTACGATGGTTGTGTGTGTATGGTTCATGCGTATCAGGGCTTCTTGTATACACCCGGAGATGTTGAAGACGCCTTGCAGAAGATCAATGCGCTGATTGAATCCAAGGAACTCAGAGAAAAGGTCAGCCCACTCCTTGCAGACCCTCACTGGTCAGGTCCATTCTTTATATCATATCCACTTTTTGGTCACTGCGCTGTGAACTGCAGATTAAAATTGCCTTGCGTTACGCCGACAGGCCTATATATAGCTCAGTTGGTACGCCGAAAATGAACTGTAGAAAATGCAGACACCCATGTACGAATCCAAATGCAATCAGATGAACGGACTTCAACAGAGTGAAATAATTCTGAAATTTCTGGGGCCAGTTAGATCAAGACTGGTATCTCAAGGCCATTGCCCCCACCTGTCTCTTATACACATCTAGATGTGTATAAGAGACAGGTGCTACTCCTTGAGCTAACAAATCTGTACCGTCTGTTTCAGGAACAACCTTTCATAGAAATAGTGCGGGATTCAATTCACTATTCTCTTCTTCTTGTTCTTCTTCTTCTTCTTTTTTTTTTTTTTTTTTTTTTGACGGGGAATATGCTAATATATATGTCCTAACATCATTGCATTAGTGCATTAGGATTTGAACTCTTGACCCGGGTGATCAGTTAGTTGTGAGGTGTGCCACCATACAGCCAAAGGCAGGTGAGGGCTTTGCTACTCTGAGTACTCTCTTTCTTTCTTTTTTTTTTGTTTTTTTTTCCAGTTTACTTAAAACCACCACTCCCTTTCACAGGCAAATGCAAAGTGCATCTAGTAGCCTACTCCTGAAAACACGGGGCTTGGGGCAGGATTGGAGTCCGACGGGATCCAAATCCCATGCAATAGAAATTTAATGAGATATATCATGGGTACCCCCAGGGGAAGTTGAATGCCCGTTGCCTCTGTGAAAGGGAGGTGTCCTAGGCCAAAAGAAAAAAAGAAAAAAAGAAAAAAAACATCGAGTTTCGAATCCAGGGATGTCGGGGAAGGGCCACACAAGGGTGGCACGTAACACCGGTGCTTTGAGGAATGTCTCTGGCCACTATTATGTGGGGTTGTTGTTTGATTTTTGCTTTTTTTTTTTTTTTTTTTTTTGGGTTTCATGTCGTTGTAGTGCCCTGGCAGCCAGGCAGGGCGTATTTCAATGGTGGCAAGTAAGTGTCTGAATGCTGTTGCATCCTGTACCCGCCCTCAATCACAGCATAAGGGAGTCTTTTTTTGTTTTGTTTTGTTTTGTTTTCGTTGTCTGTGTGCTACACGCCCAAGTTTTTCCCTTTTTTCCTTCTTGGGCGAAACTGCCCCGGCTGGGCAAAACTCGGTGCGCAGTCAAAATCAGGCTCAGCAAAACAGGATCCGAGGTAGTGGTGGTTTAACTTTACTCTTCTTTTTTTTCCGTTCTGTTTGCTTGAGCGGCCTTGGGAGAAACGGGGTTCATGCGGTTAGGACCTGGGTCCTGGATGTTTTTTCGCCGGCAGAGCAAACTCGGGTTTTTGCCGACAGATCATAACTCGGGTTTTTCGGCGACAGAGCAATCTTGAATGTGAGCCAATCGTGTAAATCAAGGGTGGTCAGGCATCGAACTCGGTTGACATTTCCATGCCTGACGACGAGTGGGGTTGGGAAGGAGAGAGCAAGGGTTGTTTTATGGAAGCAGACTGTGTGAAAAAAGGAGGATGGACAAACCATATCGTTGCTGATATACGTTATTTTCAGCTGAATTACACACACAAAACACACACACACACACACACACACACACACACACACACACACACACACACACACACACACACACACACAC